GGTTTCACCATGTTGACCAGGATGGTCTCGATCTCTTGACCTCGTGATCCACCCACCTCGGCCTCCCAAAGTGCTGGGATTACAGGCTTGAGCCACCGCGCCCGGCCTGTTGCCCACTTTTTAATGGGATTATTTCCCCCTTTTTTTTTTTGGTATTGAATTATTGACTTCCTTATATCTTCCTCTGCCTGCTTTTTCACTGGGATGCTGTCTTGTTGCTGAATTCTGTATTAGTTTGCTAACAAAGTACCACTCACTGGGCGACTTAAACAAAAGAAATTTATTTCACACAGTAATGGAGGCTGGAAGTTTAAGATAAAGCAGGTTTGATTTATTCGGAAGCCTCTCTCTTTGGCAGTGCAGCAGTGCCATCCCCGTAGGTTTTTACAAAGACCTCACTGGCTGGTGTCTTCACCGAGGGAATGGGGAACAGGGGTGAGAGCAGGGACACCAGTGAAGTGGCTCCCATATTAGTCTGGGCAGGAGATGGAGGTGGTCCTAGTGGTAGCAGTGGAGGTAGCAAGAATTGGTTTTCACCAAGACAGGCTTTTATTCAATGGGCAGGCACAGATCCAGGGTGATCCTGAAATTTCATGGGGATTTCTTCTACGTCCAGCAGTTTCATGGGGATTTCTCTTTTGTGGGCAGGTCTCACAGATTTCAAGCCTGGCTACTGGATTGGCGTCCGCTATGATGAGCCACTGGGGAAAAACGATGGCAGGTAGCAAGCATTCCCACTCAGGTGTCTGTGCGTGTGTGTGTGTGTGTGTGTAAGTCCATGTGTGCTGTTGGCTGCGCTGCCCATGCCAGCATCTGGAGTGGAGCCATGTGAGGGTCCTCTGACCACCCCCACCCCCATCCTGCCCTGCAGTGTGAATGGGAAACGCTACTTCGAATGCCAGGCCAAGTATGGCGCTTTCGTCAAGCCAGCAGTCGTGACAGTGGGGGACTTCCCGGAGGAGGACTACGGGTTGGACGAGATGTGACAGCCCAGGAATTCCCCCGCTCCAGCTCCTAACTTGGCCACTCACTGCCCCTCCTGTGTGTGCCCGTGGCCCTCTTCTGACCCCATTTTAATTTTATTCATTTCTCCTCTGCCATTGATTTTTGAGACTCATGCATTAAATTCACTAGAAACCTGGAAAGTGTTTGGAGGACTTGATGATTTGGAGACCCACTGGGTTGCTGGGTAAATAGTGGCCCTTCAGTATCAGGGGCCAGCCTCCATCTCATATATTGCTGCTCCCTGATCTTCTTATCATTCCCACCTCATCTGCTGTAGCTACCAGGAAGAAGGGGAAGGGTGAGGATATTCTTTGCCTTTAAAACTATGTACGTGGCCAGCTGCGGTGGCTCACGCCTGTAATCCCAGCACTTTGGGAGGCCGAGGCGGGTGGATCACAAGGTCAAGAGATCGAGACCATCCTGGCCAACATGGTGAAACCCCACCTCTACTAAAAATACAAAAAAATAAGCTGGGCGTGGTGGTGCGCGCCTGTAGTCCCAGCTACTGGGGAGGCTGAGGCAGGAGAATTGCTTGAACCCGGGAGGCGGAGGTTGCAGTGAGCCGAGGTCGCACCACTGCACTCCAGTGTGGCATCTGGTGACAGAGTGAGACTCTGTCTCAAAAAGAAAAACTGTACAAGCTTTGCGCAGTGGCAGTATCGTAGCCAATGTGGTTTATCCAAAGTGCGATTATTGCTGATTGAAAAGAAAGTTAAAAAAAATTTAAAAAAACAAACTACGGCTGGGCACAATGGCTCACGCCTATAATCCATCACTGTGGGAGGCCGAGGAGGTGGGCGGATCATGAGGTCAAGCGATCAAGACCATCCCGGCCAACATGGTGAAACCTTGTCTCTACTAAAAAATACAAAAATTAGCTGGGCATGGTGGCACGTGCCTGTAGTCCCAGCTACTCAGGAGGCTGAGGCAGGAGAATTGCGTGAACCCGGTAGGCAGAGGTTGCAGTGAGCCGAGATCGTACCACTGCCCTCCAGCCTGGCACCTGGTGACAGAACGAGACTCTGTCTCAAAAAATATATATATATTTACAACTCATGCTGGGTGTGGTGGCTCACGCCTTGTAATCCCAGCACTTTGGGAGGCCAAGGCGGATGGATCACCTGAGGTCAGGAGTTCGAGACCAGCCTGACCAACACAGAGAAACCCTGTCTCTACTAAAAATACAAAATTAACTGGGTGTTGTGGCTCGTGCCTATAATCTCAGCTACTCTGGAGGCTGAGGCAGGAGAATCGCTCGAACCCGAGAGGCAGAGGTTGCGGTGAGCTGAGATTGTGCCATTGCACTCCAGCCTGGGCAACACAGCAAGACCCTA